TCTGGTTCCTGAACATAGATTAAGCTGATTGTGTTGCTATTGTTTAAAGCTCTGCTGATCTCATTATCATCTTGCTGAAATTTTTGTTGTTTTTGCTTGTATCCAGGCATTGTCACAACCTTTGAAATGACAAGTTGAAGAATAACATGGAAATTGATTACTCGGATTTTATCTTTATGCTGTTAACATTTAACCTGTTTGTTGGTTCGATGATTGTTAATTCTCCAGTTATAGTTGAGTATTAGCATTGTTACTTTTTTCTTTAGTGAGCTTGGAAGCCAAATGGTTCTGGTTTCAGATTTGTATGATGTTTTAATTGTAATTTTGGAGTGTTAAACTATGGCTATAAGGTTGCCAACTGAGTTAGACACTTGAACACTTTCAGCATGCCTTGGTTGTTTGATTCTGTAAATATGCATGTTTAGATGATTAGAGCTAGACGAGGGTGAATTCATGTTAGTAAACCATATACTTTTGAAATCAAGTGACTTTGCTCTAAGCTAAGAGCTTTATTATGTTGTGATGATAAAGGAGCTATGTATTGGCTGTCACAATGCTAAGTGCTACTTCATTAATATTGTAATGTGGTTTGATTTCAGAATGTGTCTTTCTATTTAGCTAAACGCTGCAAATTATTTGGGCCACAGTAGAGTAAAGAAAAACTGTTGGGTCTCAAACGAGTTTGACATTGATGGCCCAGCCTCAAGTTGGGGCATTTCAGATTGATGTCGATTCATTGTTTCCCTTATATTTTGTTTAGTACTTAATTCGATTTTAGTTGGTAGTATCATAAAAATTGCTTTGAATAATCCATAATCCGCATGCATGGGCTTTGTGTCTGGCCCAGTTTAGTCATTGATGTTTCCGACAATTTCAATTTTGACCTTGGGCTTTCCCTTGAGCCCGATCCCCATTAGCCCCATTTATTTCTGTCGTGTCTGCAATAATTTGGGCCTATAATTGGCTTGCTTTTCCCAAAAATAATTAAAGGGTCAACGCATGTACCCTAAGTTTTTTTTTTACTAATAGCTCAAACCTTTTTTAAGAACATCTGTAGGCTGTTTTAATTAAGTATAGTCCTTTACAAATAGATCGAGGCATGCCATTTTAACTAGATCGCTTATGGCCCTCACAAATGTTATAACTTAGATGCTAAAGAATGAATTTTGTAGTTGCTTTAGGCGCATTAATTGATTAATTATCATGGCTACGGGTATGGTTCCCATGACATAGTTATGATTTGCAATTATTAAAACCCGGGTGTACATTTCATGTGACCCGTTTCTAATCTCCAACAAGGTTAGATAGAACGTATCGTGAATCACGGGTGCATTTCATGTAGCGTGGTTTGCGATGTGTTTTAAATAACCTTGAATTAATTCTTTGAATAAATAAAAGCGGTGATAAAGTTTAAAAATGCACATAGGTTTAAAAATGTTTTAAAATCATAAATAGGCTAATAATAATAGTTGAGCGACCGTGCTAAAATCATGGAACCCGGTAATGCCTAACACCTTCTCCCGGGTTAACAAAATTCCTTACCCGAATTTTTATGTTTGTGGACTGTAAAACAGAGTCAATCTTTCCTCGATTCGGGATTTAAACCGGTGACTTGGGATACCATAAATTATCCCAAGTGGCGACTCTGACTTTTAAATAAAATAATCCCGTTTCGATTATCACTTAAATTGAAAAAAACTCCCTTGTACCCCTTCCAGGGGTAAAAAAAGGAGGTGTGACACTATTGTACTCAAAAAGTCAAATCATTGCATTATTGATAATTCATACGTGTTGTGGGTAATTGTTGGTCCCAATTGATATGTGATTGATTCACTTTCGACCAGTTGAATTAGTTTTTGTCTTGTGGAGATGGAAATTACCTTATTTGCTTGAGGACAAGAAAAACCTTAAGTTTGGGGGAGTTAATAAGTAGAGATTTTGACTACTTATTTGTACTCTTTTACTTTCGTTTTAGCTCAAAATTGCTTAAAGGTATTTTCGAAAACTAATAAAATATACTTTTTTGCAGGAGTGTTGGAATATGAGCCAAAGAAATAAAAATCAACTCAAGAAGGAGAAATTTTGGACAAAGACCAAAACCAGGCTAAAAGAGCAAAATGCGGATCGCATAATATTAAGTACGGCCACAGAACATGAGGAAGCCTCTAACTGAATTCTCATGCAAAATACGGACCACATAATTCTTATGAGGCCGCAAAAGATGAAGTTCAGAGAGATGGATTTTTGGGCCATAAAGAAGTGTGGACCACACCATTATTGTGCGGTCGCAGAATCAAGAGCGCGACCGCACTTAGAAATGTGCGGTCCGCAGAAGTCCCCCATTGCCAAAGCCCAAGTTCAAGAAGTGCGGACCGCACCATTATTATCCGGACGCAGAATCAAGAGTGCAGTCTCACTCAGAAATGTGCGATTCGCAGAAGTTGAAGAAGTGCGGCCGCAACCCAGAATTGTGCGGCTGTCCAACATGCCAAGCAAGTTTCAAAGTATGGACCGCACACCGCATAACGTTCGCATGGGCAATTTTGTCCGATAATTTTAACTGGGTTTAAATAGATCTTTTTGTCATTTTTAAGTTAGGTTGGGTGCACCTAAGAATAGATAGCCGTTTTTCTTTACTGTATTTGGTAACTTTATAATAATTTAACATTTTAACATTAGATTTTCTTCCCTTAATCATCTATTATGAATTTTATCTTAGTTTCTTCTTTAATTTCTTCATTTTCCATGAGTAGCTAAATTTCTTGCTAGGGTTGTGACCTAACCCTAGTGTGAGTACTTAATGGGTGTTTGATTTAGGGCTTGTTTGTGATTGAGTTAGTGATATTTAGCCTAGTTCTTGCTTGAATTTCAGAATTGATAGTTACAAACATTGATTCATGCCTAATTGACTTAGTCTCTACTTGAGAAAGAGAGACCAAGTCCAGAAAAAAATGGCTAACAAGGAATTGGGTGAATTCAAGAAATTGATTAATTAAATAGTTGAATCTAGAGATAGTAAGACCCGACTTGAGCATTTATCATTTTTTTGTGTAATACTCATTTGAACTTGAGAAAGCCAAATTTGGCAAAATCACTCTAACTACCGAGAGGTATATGAGTGGGTAATTACGTGTGATTGCTATATTACGACCCGGACCAAACAAACTTTCCCTAAAGCTTACAATCCGTTAGGTAACCACCTAGGTGGAAGTCACGACACTAGATCTTTTATAAACTTGAAAAACAACAATACCAAAAACATTATCTATTAGCTTTTCAATTGCAAGCATTAGGATACAAACTAGAAGTAGAAAAGAAACAATTGAATATGTGAAAGTGCAATCTTGGGCACGTCATACACTAAACTAGGTATATACTTAATCCCACGTAAAGCTCTCTGTTGAATCGACCCCGACTCGCGATGGGTATTTATAATTGCATCGACCGCCTCACAATCCCAATTAGTGGTTTGATTTTGGTGACATCACTCCTAAAAGATTATAGATTTACCACTAAGAAATATATATATTTAATACGCGTTATATTAAAATAAAAATGATAAAAGTATAATAAATTTTGTGATAATTATAAAAAGGACTATCGTATTTATAATTTTAATAACTTTAAATTGTAATTTATAATAAGGTATAACCTAATTTAAATTATAGGTAAAATCATAAAAATAACATATACAATAAAAGAGGATAGAGGAGGGAATTGAAAATAACAAGGGCAAAGTAGATATTATATAGAATAAGGGGAAGAATGATAATTGTTCAAAGTTCAAGGAGGTTTAATTTTTAAATCAATGTTGAGGGTTGTAAATAATTTTTACCCTATTATTATTTATATTAAAAGGGGCAATTGAAATAAGTAAGATGTTTGACATGTATTTGCAATATGTTACTTTTGATATTGTTATAAAAAATATATCTACTAATATGAACATTTAAGTAGTTTAATTCAAATTTCTATAATATTTTTACTGTTAAAAAGTAGACAATATTTATTTCTTTCTTTTTTACAAAATTTTTGTACCTTTTTTTTTGTCTATAAAAGTTAATATTGTCTAATTTAAAATATAATCATAAAATTCATTATTAAAATAATTGGGCCCTAAATCAAGACTTTACTAGTCTCATACTAAAGCCACTTGTCTACTCCTCACATTCTCAATTAAATTTTCTAGAGTCTTAATTAAGATAAGATAACAATGACAACAAAATTAAATTAAGTGAATGTCTCATTCAGTTACCAAATGTGAATGAGGTTGGTTAAATAACACGTTCATGATGGGGGCAGTGATTTGTAAATTTGTTGATTATCAATCAGGAGCGGCTCAACGAAACTGGTGACCTAAAACCAAAATATATTAAAAGATCATGAAACTTCTTTCATAAAAATCGAAACAAAAAAAAAAATGCTATATGACTTTGATCTAGTGGTGAGAGTGTAATGCATGATGTGTGGGTTAGGCACATCATATGTTATTGAACTCTTTCCTTAAGTGACAATGGTAAAAGGGTGAGCTCATTAGCAATTGTATTTTGGACCTTGTAACATTTGTTTGGGAAATTTTTTAGTTAGAAAAGATGAGACACAAAAAAACTTGCTTTCTGCTATGTGAATTAATCAAATGAGACCAAAAAAAAGTTAATTTAGAATTATGAGTTGAAATTAAAAAATAAAATTGTGAGAAACATAAAAGAAGACTACACATAAAAGAAGAAAAATAGAATGGATAAGAAAATAAATATATTATTTTATTTAGTTAGAGAAAAAATTTATCCTGTTAACTCAATCCTACCTGTGCAAAACTTTAAAAAATATTAAAATTTAAAATCTTTTATTAATAATTATATAATAATATAGTAGTGGTTTATAATTTTTGGGGCCTTAAGTTAAATATTGGGGGTGTAAGGCAAAGGCTTCACTTGCCTTATCCTGGATCCGCCCTTGCCCCTTACCTTCAACGCTAGCTCCGTCCCTGTCAGGTTCCTTATCTGCTGCTCTACACTCTGCTTCCTTCAAGTGCTGCATTTTTTATTTGCTTGCCCTGCTCTTTTATCTTTTAATCCAGAAAAAAAGAAAAACTAAAATTTTATCACTTGCAAACATAGTGTTCCAGCTGTAAATGAGCAGTCTTATATATTAATTGTAAGACTGGTGGTTGTTGAGCTTCGATACTTCATATATCTAGTACTAGTTCTTTTTTGTTTCGAGTTTCGATCCGTCTAACTGTTGGACAGGGGAGGTATTCTTTTTTCTGATCGATAATTGTCAGTTGTTTCATAGGAGTAGTAATTAATTTTCACAATCAAGTTGGCTGCATGTAGATTGAATATCTTTTCTGAGCAGGAACATTGTTTTTTCAATTTCGTAGCTCTGACATTATTTTATTCTGCTTAAAAATAAAAACAAGTTGATCTTTCTGCATTTTTCATCCTAATTGTGAGGCATCTGGTTTTTATTAATTTGGAAATACCAGTCTTTAACTGCTAATGGAAGTGAAAGACACAAATTCTACTCAATTGGCGTATGGGGAACCTCCCTGGATTTTTAAAGGCAGGCAAGTGTTTTTACAATTATGCCACCAGTCTTTTAGATTTAGATCAGCTAGCCAAGAATTGTACTAATAGAGTGTTTATTAATGTAATGTAATGTAATGTTGCAGTGCTTTATACCAGCTTCATCTTGTCAAAGCAGAGACTGCTCGAGCTTTCGTTCCCAAAGACTGCCGACTAGTTGAGGCATTTGGGTATCCATTTTTCTTTACTATACTAGACTGTGAAAAGCATTTTAGTGAGTTTATTTAAGTAATGCCCATTATGCTTAATTAAATTGATTTTTGTATTTGCAGATATACTCTTGGCGGGTTCTTTCTTGCTAGCTATGATGACAGTCCTGCTGGATTCTTCGACGAGGTTTCCCCTGCCTTATATTTTATAAGTTGCTCCTCTTGATCAAATGATTTGTTCTAGCAGACTAAGTGATTTGTCTGCATTATTAAAGTTGAATCATCTCATTCTAAATTGCAAGTGGGACCTTTTTCTGTTTGCTTTGTACAGGAACATGCATTTCATATAGACAAGTTAAAAAGAACACCCTTTTTTTGTTTATTTAATAGTGAAATGTGTTATTTTAATGCAAGTTGTTCAGTTGGTGGTGATTGCAGGACTAGTATGGAATCCACCTACATCTTGTGCGTAAGTATTTACTCTATTGCATCTTCCTCTGCTTAAGACTACTAATACATTATGAAACAATTATGTGGAACAACACACGCAAATCTAGTGTATTGCTTCTTTGGGAAAACTCAGCATCACCACATCCAGACCTTTACAAGTCAGCCACTACCAAATCAATTCAGGGACTTAATTTGACTTTCCTTACCCATCATTGGCGGTGTCAAAAATATAGTTTTCTTTTTTATGCTTTCTTTCTTTTCCTGAAAGTGCAGGTTACCTTCCTTCTTGTGTCTAACTTTTTCTTCCTTCTCTGACGGTTTAGAAGAGGGTTTTCCTTTTATAGTTTTATCACTGCCCATGTAGCATACTGATTAGTACTAATGATTAAGCTGTCACTAGTAGACCACTGAACAATGGGAAAACCTTATGGATAATCCATCTAAACCTTGTTGGAAACTTTCTCAAGAACATGGAGAGTGGGGATTCTTTAACTTGGCAAAATATAGATAAAGAAATGAAAAATGGCAGGTCGTGACCCCGAGGGAGGTGGGAAGCTACCACTTCTAGAATGACAGCTTCTCCGTTATTTTTGTAGAGCTATCACCAAGGAGTAGGGTGGGATGAATCTCACCACTCTTAATGAAAGGTCTCAGGTTCGAGCATTGGAAATGGAGAAACTCCTAGTAAGGAGCGTTTCCCCTTTGTGTGAATCTTGATTAGTCAAGCCAGTGGGTTTGGAGAGCCTGATGGTTAAACCAAATTATAAAAATGTTACTGTTGCTTGTTCAATATGAAGTATCTTTGTTTGTACACTAACAAATATATTTTTTGTCAATAATAGATGGGCTGCCAGGGTGCTGGTGGATAGTAATGAGGCGTGCCTTCATGGGCGGAAGGTGGGTAGTGGTGACTTTCTTATATTCATCTATGCTCCTAACCTTAGATTAAATAAGAATGATTTCTTTTAATCATCTGATTGAAAGGGATTTCTAGCATGTGTTCGTTTGAATGAAGACTTGGACATAAATATAGATAGTCACTAGACTTTAGTAAGAATCGAGTTTGCATCACTAACTTGATTCTTATATATTGCATTGTTTTAACATGATCCTATTCATGTCTCGTGCGTCACAGGTTGTAGGTCTTCCAAGTCAAGTTGCCAGGTTTTCAAAGGTACAACTGAGTTTGTAGATTGGATCTTCTGTTGTTGAACACTTGAATCGTATTTTTGTATATCAGGCATCATGCAGTTCAACTCTCCTAGTCAAAACTTACATGAAATGCTTTCAAATTACCTTGCTCTTCTTAAACAATGATGCTTCTCTGCCATTTGTCTATGAATTTCCTTTTTCCACAAGGTATGCACATGGATTCTAAATGCTTTTATAAAGGTTTACCTGAGGTGGGTGAAAATGAAGTTGTAGAGAATATTTTTTCAGTTACTCGGCTGATGTTTCCAAAAAGTTAAAATGGATATGTTCTGGAAGTGAGGATTCATATAGCCGACTCCAACTTGTTTGGGATTGAAGCATATTTAATGTGGTTGTTGTTGTTGTTGACATGTTTTGAACTAGAACTTACTTTGTTGACCTGCATGCAGAAAATTACAGCACTTCCGCGGACACCGAAAAGTAAAACAAGTAGTGTTCTAAGCACTGTTGGCTTGAGGACATCTTCTGCTAGCTATAGGAATAACATGGACATAGAAGTAACGGAAATCAAGAAGCAGAGAGCAATAAATATCTGCAATATCAACCTTAATACCGCTGGTAAATAAGTTGACAGACTGCATTATTTCTTGATAGATGAAAATCATAATTCAATTGTTGATCATCTGCAACTTTCCTTATAGCAATAGTTGTGAAGTCGAATTTAGAACTTGGTATATCTAGGTATTTCCTACAGACATTGTCAACTGAAGATTAGACAAATAGAAAAAATGACCTAGTGTTTGCCCCTCTGCTGAGATTTGAAACCTAGGACTTTATGGATCTCCTCCCACTTCATTGACCAACTAGGTCATACATTTGGGTGCGTAGGTATTTCCTTCATTCAATAGAATAAGCAATAAATTCCTCCATTTTGTCATCGTAGCCTAATATGCTCATCCCAATATACTTGCCAAGGTAGGGAGTGTTGATCCATTGGCAAAATCTTGCAGTTTGACCTGTAGTAGGTTGTCGGGAAACTTCATCTCAAATGTTATACCCCATTTTATCATGCTTCTATGTCCATTTGGAATTGGCAGTTCCTCGACAAGAGTCTAAGGAATGGATGGGTCCTCTTATCAAAATGTCACTCCCAAACTTTAGGTAATTGTTTCTAACTTGGTCCTTAGGGTGTTTACCCTTGAAATAAATTTGGACTTGTAATTAGCAGTTTTGCTTGAAATTTCAGCGGACGGACAAAGTACAATTCTGATCTCCTCAAGTACTCTTGCCAGATTGAGTGCAGGTCAGTGCTGCTTAGCCCGACCTTTTCAGTGCCGTGATTCTCATTCTTTAACTATGATTAGAACTCGTTGCTAAGGCAAGTGATTTGTGTTTTATTACTTTGCATGTATAGGGTAAGACCAGTGCGACCAGCAAAAGTCTTGGGACCATTTGCATTGGATGCAGACAAGGAAAATTCATCTGAAAGTCAGAGCTCGAATGTGGAATCACTAAGCAGAGTGCCTACTGGGACCAAGAGAAATTTCAGCATATCCGTGATGCTGTCCAAGCCGATTCTGGCTTTAGAATTCAATCATCTGAAAATGAAAGTTGAAGCTCCTACTACAGTTACCACACGCTCTCAGAATACTATTTGACAAGTCAGTGATATCTTTTTTACATGCCTAACAAAGATGGCTGATATTCTAATTTCTGCGTGTTCGTTTATAAAATGAGTTGCTTTTTGTTATTTCCAATTTTCTCACTAGTAGAAAACTTGTAACACTATCTCCGACTCATTAATTATTGTCATAGATCATTTTCAGCTTCTTCAATGAGGATCACATTTAAGAGGCTTATTTTGTGCAGTGATCTTAGGCTATTTATTTTCGTTATCTTGGAAGAATATACCAGAGAACTTTGACATGTGCAGTAACTTAACATTCTAGTACAACCAGAGGTCATTTGGTAACATTGGACTACAATTTCACAAAACACCCAAGTACAAAGGCAACAATGAATTCTTTACTTTGACAACTTTACAGAACATCTCATGTCACACCCTTTCTATTTTGAAGTTGTGATACAAGAGAGAGTAACTGAATGCAGCTTCAGCTTCCACCAAAAATAAGATTAAGAAACACCTCAAATATGTCAAGTTTACTTCGTGTTTGAACTAGTGATGCTGAACCGATCAAAGAATCAGATTGCTTCAGGCAAGGGCTTGCCCTCCAAAAATGACTTGAATAGCATGAGCGTTCTCTCTGATTGAGAGAATGGAGCTTCATGAGACGTGCCTCTTATCTGTTGGGGAGTTAAACCCAAAGAAGGGAAGTGGAGAGAGTATTTTTGAAGTCTCTTTGAAATTGCATTAGAAAAGCTAAAGTACAGGCCTTTTAAATAGGCTTATAATCAGCTGACTTTTGCTAAAAATAAGCAAGTAATAAAAAAGTGGATAAAATACTTTCACTAATTCTACCATTATCAACCAACTAAATGATCATGCTAATTAACGGAACAAGCACTAATTTTACAGATACTAAAAACTAGGAACTAAATAAGTTGTCACTTTGAAGCATTAATCAACACACCCCCTTGCTTCAAAGCTTGTCACTCCCATCTGTGATCTGAAATACTCATGCTTGCCGACTGGAAGTGCTTTGGTTAGAATATCAGCAACTTGTTCATTTGTGCCACAATGCTTCAACATAATGAGTCCAGTTGCTACCAGATTTCAGATGAAATGGTACCGAATGTCGATATGCTTTGTCCTGCTGTTTCTTGCCAGATTCTTTGTCATCGCAGTAGTTGCTTTATTGTCACAGAAAATTTCAGTTGCAGTAGCTTCCTCTTGAAATAGATCGGCAAGTAACCTCTTTAGCCAAACCGCTTGACAAGCTGATGCAGTGTCAGCAACATATTCTGCTTTAGATGATGACAAGGCCACAATTTCTTGCTTCTTTGAACTCCAATATATAACACCTAAACCTAGAGAGAGTGCATATCCAGAGGTACTTTTTCTATCATCTAGACAACCTGCCCAATCACTATCTGTGAAACCAAACAATTTAAAATCTAGCACATTAGAGTATCAAATTCCAAAATCAATAATTCCGGCAACACATCGTAAAATCCGCTTTACTGCCCCAAAATGATGCTTTGTTGGGTTATGCACGAATCTGGAAATCAACTAACAGAAAATGCCATGTCAGGCCGTGTGTGCGATAAATAATTTAGACCACCAACTATGCTTCTAAAGCATCGAGCATCCATCAATCCCGTACGATCATCTGATATGAGCTTCTCATTCACATTCATAGGCGTAGAAGCTATCTTACAACCCAACATATTGAATCCCTTAAGAAGCTCACTTGCATATTTTTTTTGGCGAGACAAAAATGCCATCTAAACTTTGTTTAATCTCAAGACCAAGAAAATAGTGCAACAACCCTAAGTCTATCATTTCAAACTTTTTCATCATGAAAGACTTGAATTCAACAATAAGTGATTCACAAGAGCCAATATAAATCATATCATAAAGGCACACCACCAAGAAATCAGTTTTACCTCGCTTATTTACATAGAGAGTTGGCTCATTTTTGCTTCTTTCAAATCAATTCTCCTGGAAATAAAAGTCGATCTTTCTATACCATGCTCGCGACAGTTGCTTTAGGCCATATAAAGCTTTCTTCAACCTGTACACTTCACTTTCACGTCTAGTTACAATAAAACCTTAAGGTTGAGCAACATAAACTTCTTTTAATTCTCCATTTAAGAAGGCAGACTTGACACCAAATTGGTAAACTTGCCAAGAGAGTTGAGCAACAAAAGCTAAGAGAGTTCTCACCATTTCAAAGCGCGCTATGGGGGAGAATGTTTCATCAAAATCAACTCCTTGTTGATGTGCGTATCCTTTTGCAATTAGCCGAGCTTTGTGCTTCTGAATAGTTCCATCAGTATGGTACTTCGTGCGATACACCCATTTGAGGCCAATAAAATTCTTCCCTCCGGTAAGTTAACCAACTCCCATGTTTTATTCTTTTCGGCAACGTTCCTCTCTTCCACCATTGCTTGCTTCCACTCTTCTTTTTCAGTTGCTTCTCCACAGTGGATAGGATCTGAAACAATAAAAGCAAATTGACAAGTATAAATGTCATTAGAATATCTGGGATTTGGTCTTTTTCCCTGGTTGATCTTCTTAGTGGAATTGGATCTGATGGAATTGGCTCTTCTGAAGACTCTCCAAGTGTTTCAGATGTTGCTTGTGCTGAAGGTTCAACCACAAGTGTTTCAGGTGCATTTTCAAGAACTAGAGAATTTACAGATGCTATAGTATTGCTATCATTCAGAGCCCAAATTCCTGCTTCGTTGAACCTAACATCCCTGCTTATAATAACTTTGCCACTCATCGAGTTATACAACTTGTATGCTTTGGAATAAGGACTATATCCCACCAAAATGTATTTTTCTGATTTCACATCAAGTTTGCAACGAGATGGAGAAGTATCCAAAGCATATGCTAAACAACTGAAAACTTTTAGATGGCTTACTCGTGGCTTCCTGCCCTTCCAAGCTTTATATGGGGTTTAATTCATGACTGCCTTCGTTGGCAAGATATTGAGAAGATACATTGCCGTTGCTATTGCTTCTGCCCAAAACATCTTTGGAAGTTCTGTTGTTTTCATCATGCTTCGGGCCATTTCAACCACCATTCAATTTTTTAGCCCGGCCACTCTATTTTGCTCTGGTGAGTGTAGTGTAGTCAATTTAGTGTAAATACCATTTTTCTCATAAAAACCGTCAAATTCTTTCGATGTAAATTCACCACCTCTATTTGAATGAAGAGCCTTTATAGAACACTCACTTTGCTTCTCTACTAACGCTTTGAAATTTCTAAAATTCTCATAAAGTTTCAGATTTGAATTTCAAGAAATAAGCCCAACTCATTCGACTATAATCATCCGTGAACAACAAAAATATATCAACTTTCACCAAAGGATTCAACACTCATTGGACCACAAACATCAGCATGCACCAATTCAAGACAATCGGAAGCCCTCCAAGCCTTGTTTATAGGAAATGAGTTTCTACTTTACTTACCGTAGACACCCCCTTCATAAAAATCAAGACCATCAATTTTAGACAACCGAACAACAATATTTTTTTGACCAAATAATTTCATCCTTTTAACATTCAGACCGTCATACCGTAAATTCCATAAATTAGCACCACTAGTTTTAGCAACTAAAGCACAATTTTTACATCAGATATATTTAAAGGAAACAGTTTATTTTGTTTCATAGAAATGTTGATAATGTTTTGCCCTGAGTTCTTATCATAAACAGAGCAACATCATCAAAGAGAAGAGAGTAACCAGCATTCATCAATTGGCCAACACTTACCAGATTATGGAATAAATTAGGAACATATTGCAAATCATGTACAAGCTTTACATTATCACGTGTGGTTTTGATGGAAATTGTACCTTTCTCTTCAACCTTCATCGTCTTGCTGTCTCCATGTCGGACCTAGCTTTTTGGAGTCATCAAGTTCTTTAAACAATGACCTCGTTCCAGACAAATGGTTTGAGGCACCACTGCCCATGAACCATACTCCATTAAGGCCATCATTGATAGGGGATTGGGTCATGAATAACATACTCCCCTCTTCAAATTCCTCCGTGAAATTTTCTTGCTTTTGCTTTGTGAAAATTTGCTTGCTTTTGTTCATTCCTATGCTTGGTCCATCAATTAGCTTCTATGTGGCCCAAATTCTTGCAACATCGACATTGTATGTTGTTTTTGTTTTGACGTTGATCGCCAAATTAGCCTCTTCCTCTACCATTGCCACGACCTCGACCACGATAGCCACCTCTTCCTCCGCCTCGGCCACCAGAAAATTATGGTTTTACCTTGTAAAGAGGCTCCCCTTCACCGAAATATCTTTCTCCTCCGCCTTTTCATAGGACTTACTGATCCAAACTTCATGGGCTAACAATTAACTCATTAGTTCATCAAACTATAAGTAGATAGGTCCTTAGATTCTTCTATTGCAGCAACAACATGGTCAAAGCTTTTTGTTAAACTTCTCAACACCTTACAACAATTTCATTGTTAACACTTTTACCATATGTTTTCATATGATTAACAATTCCAGAAACCCTAGACATAAAATTTTTGCACATACTCTTTGTCTTTCATAGCTAAAGTTTCAAATTCACAACGATGTGTCTGTAATTTTACAGTAATTATCTTCTTCTAACTCAAATATTCTTGCTTTAGAGTCTCCCATGCTTGATTGGAGGTTGTTGATGTTGCAATTCAGGAAATATTTCATCATCCAGTGCCAATTGTGTTACACCCCGTGTATCCCAAGGTGACGTAAAATGAATGTGAGACTTTTTAATCATGACTTAATTGAGTGTAAAGTCATAATATGACTATATATAATGTTTGGATATAAAATATGGGGAAAATCGGATTTAAGTTGTGGAAAAACTGACTAAGGATTTGCCTTGTAACGAAGCTTTTTGAGAAATATATTTCATGTATTATATAAGGTCTTTTTGGGATATATTATATACCAAATTGAAGGTATTGAAATTTAGTTTCCAACACTCTTAACCGTTCATTCGTACGACGTCCGGATAAAAAGATATAAGCGTCTGAAGAAGGACCAATGCTAGGGTGTCAAGCTAGCACCACTTTGACTTTTCAATAATGGATATATATATGCCTTAAGTCTTCTTTTTCTTCATTTTTCAAGAGACCACAAACAGAGAAGACCCATAAACTTATCCTTAAGCTTTCTACAAGGGTTTCAAAAAAGATTAACATCTCGGGTACGAAATCAAGAAGCG